TTTTTTTTAATTTTTTATAGGTGGCCAATCTTTTAAAAAATATGTCTGAGTTACAAAAACCCAACAATTTTTCTTTCATATTAATACCTTATTGTTATATTTCACTTATCTTTGCTGTAAAGGCGAAAGAAATCCCACTTTGCAAATATTCATTTTAATTGAATTTATTTTTTTAAATAGGTGGCAAGACTCTTCAAAACTGTTTTCGTAATAAACCTTTTTCAACCTATCTCGTTTGACATCTATTGTGCAATATTTCATTAAATTTATTTAAACTTTTACAAGTCAAAGGAAGGAAGGTTCGACAAAAAAATCTTAAAGATGTTTTCGCAATAAAGCGTTCCACATCGTAAGCCTTCGTTTAACTTATAATTTAAAGTGGTATTTAACTTTCAAACAGGCGGCATCCCTCTTCAAAAACAATTTTTTATCGTGACCTAATTGCAGAATTACAACTCTAATTGCAGAATTANTTTGGCATCCACATCGTAAGCCTTCGTTTAACTTATAATTTAAAGTGGTATTTAACTTTCAAACAGGCGGCATCCCTCTTCAAAAACTATTTTTTATCGTGACCTAATTGCAGAATTACAACTCTAATTGCAGAATTAGAACTCTAATTGCAGAATTACAACTCTAGGAAAATAATTGTCGGTTACATCATTTTCGCCGGCATTCCGACTCTGTGATCGCACCTATTCGGTGCAAGTGGAATCGCAATAGATGGTGACCGGTCAGGTACCCAGAAAGTTGCCTGATGTCATTCCTATTTACTAATTACATTACTTACAGCGTTCCGAGTGTACCCACTCAGTAAATATGGCTCTCGAAGAGGACCAACTGAGACCACAGACTGGTTTAGGTCCCGAAAAGGCAGATTGCGATCTTTCTCGTGCCAACTCGTCGGCGATCTCGTTGTCCTCGATTCCACAATGGCCTTGTACCCAGCACAGTGTTACCGTGTTTTTGGCTGCCAGAATTTTTAGCATGTCAAAGCAGTCTCTAACTAGCTTGGATTTACATAACAGTACTGTTTGAAAGGGCCCGGATGGCTGCATGGCTGTCTGAAAAGATAACTAGAAATGCGCCCTTTAAACCCTTTTCAAGGTTTAATCTTGCGCAGTTCAAAATTGCGACTATTTCAGCCTAGCCATTTGCCCATGGGAATCGCAAGTTTGGTGCTAGATCCAAAGATACCTGGACCTGCTCTGTCTACCACCCTTGTACTACAGTATACTACGTATCTGACATCAAGTGCAGGGAGCCCATTTGCCGAATCCTCGAAATCGGGGATTATCACTTGGAATTTTCAGCCAAAGCAGACCTCTTTAGTCATAGAATCAGAGATTCCACATATTTCCATCCCTGGTATCTTCCCAGGAATACCAGCATAGAGCTTCTTTGTGAAGAAGCCGTCGTTAGATAGTCGAAGTTGCGGCTTACTCGTGGCTGCTGTTTCCTGGATAAAAATATGGAGAGGAGTCCATCCTAGGAGCGACGAAATATGGCACTTTTTTGCAGTGTAGTAGAATTTCAATTTAATTGTCAATTAAGTTTCTGAACTGGTGGCAACTCTCGTCAAGAATATTTGCGAAAGAGATACAGCTTTCGTGAAACCTCTATTGTTTGATACCGACATTAAAATATTCTTTTTGAGTTGTTAACTAAATTGTTTACTAAACTAAACTAAATAAAAACTGATTTGGAATTTTTAAACATATGGCAGCCGCCTTCTAAAATATTTGGGAAATAAAGCTTTTTTTAAACTTCGCGCTTGATATCCATATATAAATTTTTTTTTTAATTGTTAACTTAATTGATTACTAAACTCAACTAAACAGAAATTGTTTTTAACTTTCTTAACAGGTGGCAAACCTTATCAAAAATATTTTAGAATTAAGATTTTGCAAACCTCACGTTAACTAAATTGTTTTTGGATTTCTTAATAGACGGCAGCTTCCTTCGAAATTTATCGGCGTAAAACTGTAGGTGCCTTCCGCTTTGTGCGACAACATCAAGGCGCACGCCACTAATCGGAGGAGTAGTGCCAATCAAATATTATTATTAACTAATCGATTTAAACATTTTAAACTGGTGGCAACCCTCTTAAAAAATATTTTCAAAATAAATTATTTTAGAGCCTCTTTCGTTTCATATCTACACCGTTGATATATTTTTTAAAACTTAATAATTAAATGACTCTAAATTTTAAAAAGTTGGCAACTCTCTTAAAAAGGTATTCTATATCAATCCAGATGATAACTTATCTGTGTGCCAAATTTCATTGACATACGTCCAGTTCATTTGTACAAATATAACGGCTAAGCGCTTAAAGTATTGACTGACCTTTTGGCGCGTTTCCTGTGTGTCCTTTGTTTTTTCTGCCAGCCTAAGTTTGTTCTGAACACATACATACATACATATGTACGAATGTCAACATTGTCACAATCGCATACACACATTTATTGTTTACATTTGTAAGCAATTAGTTTTATATACATAAATTGTCATAAAACAAATTTGCAAGCTACACTGAAAGAAATACGTGAGTGTAAACTCCCTTACAATAAAAATTTCTTTTTCTTTTTATGCAAAACAATGCAAGCCGGGCACGCTAGTTTGTATGTAAATAATTGCATATTGTACATATACAAATAAATGTTGATACTAAGGAACAAAAGCACATAAAATTATTTTAGTACAATTTTTATGACCACTCGTCATTTATGTATTTCCAATAACCCTTTTCTCACAGTGCTAGCGGTCATCGGAATTTACAACATTTTATTTATTGATGTCAATTGTTTCAGCTTATTACAACTCATAACGAGCCATCCATTCAAGCCGATTGCTGCCAATGTCCTTTTATCGCAACGATGCGTGTAAACTTCTATGAACGAAACCACTTTACCAGCCCCTCAGCTGACAAACTACATATAAAGCGTATTGAATGTCGCGAAAATACAACAAAAGACAGCCACAATATCTACAATGGTGGATGTGCGACACTCCCAAATGCCACCGCCGTACCAAAAGTATATCAATAGCGCGCGTACATACAATAGCCTACATACATACATACAGTGCCGGCCACTTGAATAGCGGCCTAATTTGATCCTCAGTATTGACAGTTTTTCTTTCGTTTGTTTAATATTTACTATTATTTTATAAGAGTCTATAACAAAAAAACCATGTAAATCCGACTTTGTGCAAACTTATAAGAATTCAACAAATTTTAATAAAAAATTTCGAAATTTTTAAGCATATTTCTGAGTTGCTTTTCAACAGTTATAGAGTTTCTTAAAAAGAATAAAAAGTTCTGTAATATTATTTACACCGAAAACAAAAATTTTTTTTTAAATTTGGGAAAGATTAACTTTAAAAAATATAAAAATTCATACTGTCTCTTTCATACATAGCTTTTCAATAGTTAATTTTTTAAAAAATACAAAATGCAAATTTTTTTTTCAAAAAAGGCGAAAAAAGTAAATTTTTGAAAAAAAATTAAATTAAAACTGTTCTGTGTAGTTTTTCAATAGTTCTATGGTTACTTGTAAGCAGTTGTGCAAAATAACTCCAATAACAGCATTTTTGAAAAAAGTTTAGAGTTTAATTTTTGAAAAAAAATAAAAACTATAAAGTACCTTTTCAATAGGTCTAGAGTTCCTGAAAAGAACAAAGTGCAGAAAAATTACGCAAAAAACGTTAATTTTTTTTTTTTAATTTTTGAGAAATAAAAAAATTTAAAGTTTTTAGTTATTCTAGCTACTCAGGACAGCTTTTTTTCTTTTTGCGTCAAACCGTATGTTTGCCAACTTCACAGACATCAAAATCTGCATATTCAAATTGTTTTAAAAAAGATTGAAATTTTGATACAAATTTGTTGAGTTATTATGAGAAGACGCCTCCACCTACCTTATCATTTAGCTTCGATTCTCCCATAAATATATTTACACGACCCCGACTTCAGATGTTGCGCCCATGCCAGCCCTCTCTCGCTGGAATGTGAGCGTTGAAAGATCTCTTCGGAACCACAAGCGGTATGCAGTAGTCTATTCGGGTCGGTAAGAACTCCAAGCTTTTTAGAATACTGGTGTGGCCATAGCTCGAGGCGAACTTAAAGTCCACACCACTTAGCCTTACTGCGCCACAACCACTGGACCCAATGACGTACAGACGAGCGATTAACGACATTCATAGGGAGTCTGTCTCCACCTACCTCGACTCCCGGCCTAGGAATGTCGTTATCGGAGCCCAATCACCACCTGTGGAAGAGACGGAGCTTCAACTACCTAGAGAGACCCGCGTTACCCTGGCTCAGTTACGGTCTGGATATTGTAGCCGCCTAAACAGCTACCTGTCCAGACTCGACCCAAACATCCCAAATGAGTGCCCGGCATGTGGAGACTCCCCCCACGACACCAACCACCTCTTCACATGCCAGCTCAATCCGACTCAACTAACACCCCTCTCCCTTTGGTCCGACCCCATCGAAACAGCTCGTTTCCTGGGCCTACCGTTAGTTGAGCTTGACGATAATGATTAAAAGTTGACCCGAAACAGGCGGGGCTTAGTAGTGCCGCTACAACAACAATAACTGCGCCACACGCAGTGGCAGCTCTGCCTGCTAAATCTTTGGGTACACCATTTAACACCGCAAAAATAAAAAGTGTCAATACCGAGGATAAAAAGCGAGCGCTATTCGGGTGGCCAGCACTGTATGTATTTATAAACTATTTACACAATGTCCGATACGTAAGTAATACGGAGGCATTGTTAGTCGTAACACATAACAAGGAAGAAATAATTTTTACCGCATTATGAAATTCCGTGGCAGTAATCAACAAGTGCGCGTCGCTGGCGGACGTTTACTAAGCGTTTATTAATTTTTGTTAGTACTTCCGGTTGACTTTGACCTACAAATTAAAAATAGCGGTTATTTGATACAGCAAAAAGGATAAGAATCACAACACATTCATACCTTCATTCTTACACATTTTAATTACATAAATATTTTCAATTCGAAGCAGTGCTCGCGCATAAAATGGCATGGCAGTTTTTGAAACGTCTAACGCAATCGGATAGCATTTTACAATCCCTCCGCCCTTTGGCCTACATATCCTTGATTGGATTGGCACCATTTCGTATGAGCGTCAACAAAGAAGTGCGCACTTCTGTTTGCTCATTCGCCGCGGGCATTGTGCATTTTTGCTTTTTTGTTTTATGTTTCTTCCTTTCACGACACGAAGGTGACTCCATCATTAGCTACTTCTTTCAGACCAGCATAACGCGATTGGGCGATGCGACGCTCTCGCTAAGTGGCATAATTGCAATGGTTACAATATTCAGTTCGATTTTCTTTAAGGTAAGTGATCTGAGCGTAAAAAGCGTTTAATTAATTGGCTATTTTTGTAATTGTATATATATTTATTCCTTTGTACTTACTAATAGCGCAACCTGCTGCTGAATATCATACAAAATTGCCTGGTGGTGGATGATATATTTTTACGTTTGGGCCTAAAACTCGACTATCGCAAAATACTGTTGTATTCATTTGTGACTTCGATGGGTTTATTACTATTCAATGCTGTCTATTTGTTGGTCAGCTATATGCTTTTGCGTTCAGCAGAAATTTGGCCATCATTTGTGGTGTTTACAACATTCGCCTTGCCGCACTTAAATATCAGCATTATGGTCTTCAAATTTCTATGTACCACACATTTGACACGTACACGATTTCGCATGATGAATGAGGTAACTGAAAGGGAAACAGTTATTTGTATATAAATATGTAAACAATAAGCAGTAATGCTACAATGGAAATAACAATGATACTTATGTAGATAGATAGCTTGATATTCGGTTGAGGCATGCACTGAGACCAGAAGATCTATTGTAATGCCCTCTTGCTCGTTACAACGCCTTGGTCATCCCTAGCTCTTTTAGGAAATCCAGTAGGTTGTTTGGTGACATCGAGTGTTTGTGATTCGGCTGCGGGGTCCCTAAACCCGGTACTTCTCTCGTCTTCGCGCCACAGCATCACATTCGAGGAATATGTGATCAGAAGTTTCAGCTGTCCTGTTACAGAACCGGTATGAATCTATAGGACAGAGTCCGAATTTGATAGATTAATGGGCTTGTCATAACTTTTCCTATTGTATCCTCCCAATAGCTTATTTTCCTGCCGCTTCCCAGTGACTTGGTTCCAGTACAGTTCTCTACTTGTTTTTTCTTCTCTGATGGTGTGTAGTCCTATTGCAAAGAAGGACTTGAGACCGATTGGTGTTGTTGTTGCCACCTTCATAGCAAACCTGTCCGTCACTTAATTTCCTTTTATGCCTTTGTGGCCCGGGATCCAGCGAAGGAAGACTCTGTTGTTTGCTGCTAAGGCTTTTAGTCTCTCTATGCACTCGAGAACCAATGCAGACATGATTTCATGAGAATGAGGGGCGCTGAGTGCGGCTGGCCTATCGCTTAATGTTAGGATGTTGTCGTTGCGATATTTTCGCTGAAGATTAATCACTTCACGCAGATTGATGACGTGAACCTGCACTTGGGAGTCTGCCATGGAAACTGCGATCTTAAATCCTGGACCAAAAATGCCAAGTCACTAGGTTGACGCTCGAGACCCAGGCCACCGATTCATGGATTATCATTGGTCATCATCTGATTAACCTAGGACCGCAGCCGCATGTTTTTCCCACAAGTCGTTTGCATACCATTAGTTCTCTTGTGGCTCTGGATGTTGTCATGTCGACGTTTTGAGAATTTTCCTGTTGAGCGTAATGCCAAAATATTCCACGTCAACTGTGACATGTTGACAGTAGATACTTCATTTCATCCTAAACCAGGCCCACACGCTTTACTTCTCTATATAGGTTACATTTGGTTAGGCGAGTGCTAGAAATGACTTGTACTTCCACTCGGAGGCCGAATTTCACACCTCCTTCTAACCGAAATTATTCCATATTGTCAGTACAATGTCTGTTAAACCATTTTCTATCCCAGACGAAGCTGTAGAGCTCCGATATGCTTGAAACACCTTACCTGTGGTGAATCCATTCCTATTCTTTCTCATCCGACAACTTCTGCTGAGAGAACTTGTTGGTATACGCTATCGATGGAACATTGGTCCAGTACCCTGTGGTGACGCCGTTAAGAGCCCATCCTTCAGATTTTTTTTTAGCATCAACTGTTCTTCAGTACGGCAGCCGCTGTGGCTGAGAGGTAAGAGGAGGGTACCACTCCGTAGGAGATTGTTATTACTATTACGACTCTTGTTGAATCTCAGCCAGAAGGATCTTTAGATCTCACAGTTGTCATGGTTGGTTCATGGGGAATTAGCTACTGCTTACCTTCCTTATTAGGTAAGAAATCGGTGATAGTAGGGAGTTATACGCTTCGTCCATTTTAATTTCCGAGGCACTTTTAGCCATCTCATCGGTTATTTCGTTTTGAGTTTGCCATATCCAGGAACCCAGCAGAGAGAGGTTTTGACATGACTCAGTGAACCCAACGAAGATCTCCTCCTGAAAGATACTGCAGCAATCAGGCAGGGACTATTTTTGCCTTAACTGTAGACTCCTTTTTCCATCCTTGAGACATCGGTTTGGATGGAAATATCATCATTTAGCGACAGTACACCGCTTTACCCAACTTCCCTTGTGGGAAGTGTCGGCCTTTTGCTGACATTGATTCCATAAGCCATCTGCCATCCCGATACTTCCTCTTTCCGAATTGGTTTTGGTATTGCGAAGCCTTGATGTCTCATTGTTCCGAAGAACTTCTGCCAGGAATCTTTCATTGCTGCCCTTATTTTACTTTTTTAGTAATTTAGCTTGTTATATAGTTTTCCCAATCTTGTTCACGACAGTGTATTTTGGCTTTATTGTCCTAACTCCATATACCACCCGGTCACCTTTGGATTGGCCTACCTCCTAATTAATTAAACTTCATCGCATTACAATGCTCTTTCTTAATCCCAGTATTTATCCTAATGTACCCCATTGGTTGAAGGTATTTCTGCGTGTCTTGTGATAGCTTTCGATCCTTCTCTTCTTCAAGGTGGGTTTTCTTGCCTCCCTGTAACTTTTTTGACCATGCTATGTCCATACCTTTACTATGGACCCTTGTGAAACGGTCAACCAATACTCCAGCTTCGCTAAGTTTATTGGTGCACCTGGCTCATTTTTCATGCAGATAATTATTCCACTTCTAAAAAAATCGTACTTTATTCTGAAGGCCAGCATCCCACTTTGGCTTTTATCATAGTTTTTATGATTCATCTCTTCTTTCTTATTTATCTCTCGATAACCATCTTGGTCGCACCTTGCCCTTTTTCTCTGCAGGGGCTTGACATTCCACGTCAGAAACTAGAGTGGCGATACCATTGCACACTTTTGGTGGTGTGTTGAATAGTACTCTCCTAGAGCCAGAGTGAGACCGGCATGGCGAATCATTTCGACGTATATTGCGACGTGCTCTGCGCCTATCACAATGTGATTGGATTCGCTTTTCGATCCGATGACAACATTGTAGCATGGTGGATCTTCTGTTGACAGAACTTATTGCTTCACACTACCATGTTTTGGTTTACGGTGAAGGTGATCAGCCTGAATCCGCGCAGGTATCGTCAAGTGACCTAAATTCTCCGACAATACTACCAAAGATACCTTCTTTGCCTATCCCAATTTTTATGTCGTGGCGAGGTTTGGACGCAAATAAGCGATATGTTGATGTGGAGATACTCCATTCCCAGTAGATAGATTTGCTCTCAGAAAGACGTCAAGGGGGCGGACAATCAGAGTCCTTAAAACGGTTGACTGGACGAATACCAAAAGCGGGTAGCCCATCCGATGCTTATATGTCGCGCAATCACATTTTGGGTATTAATACCTCGTTAATCACGTTTGTATAGCGAGCCGCAATCCATCGGCTGATCAGGTAACACACTGGCTGACTATCAAATCTCGCTCTTGAGCTGCTGACGTTGTCCAGTGAGCGCAAGAGTAGGAATTAATTATAGTTGAGGAACTGTTGCATAATACCCAGATGCTTCAAATTACTTTATCTCACTTCATTTGCCTAATATTAAGTATAATCCTCTAATTTTAATTCCCTTCACAGGTCCTGCAAGACATACTCGACTCGCATATCGAGGAACGTGATGCCATCGAGCTCTCGCCCATGCATTCAGTGATACGTATAGCACGCCGCCATAGCATACCACGGCGACATGTAGCAGCTGTTATTCAACCAACCATCACACCACGTCCACGCTATAGCGTCACTTCGATTGTGCGTGAAAATCCTGAAACAGCGCTGAAGCAAGTGAGCCATGTACACAATTTACTTTGCGACATTTGCTGTACCATTGAGGATTATTTCAATTATCCAATGCTCGCCATTATCGCTATATCCTTTCTATTCATTCTATTTGATGATTTCTATATATTGGAAGCGATTATAATACCAAGTCGTGTTGATAAATTTGAAGCAGATGAGTTCTTCGCATTCTTCTTTACGCAAATGGTGTGGTATGTGGTAATAATACTTCTGATCGTCGAGGGCAGCAGCAAAACTATTAGGGAAAGCAATAGAACTGCAGCTATTGTACATAAAATATTGAATATTTCTGATGACTCGGCTGTGCAAGATCGCCTTTTGCGCTTTTCAATGCAACTGTCACATCGACCTGTGGCATTCACCGCAGCTGGGCTTTTCAAATTGGATCGCACTTTGATATTTACGGTGAGAAGTGCTGGCGTTTGTTAAGGAAATAAGATGGAATTTAATTTGGTACTTTCATATTTTTTGTCTTACCTTTAGATTTGTGGTGCCGCCACTTGCTATCTCATTATTTTGATACAATTTCGCTCCACGCCGTCCCACTGGGAACGAACAAACGCCTCATCGGCAGCCGTTCCAGCTTCAGGATGAACAGATGTGCCTTAAGGATGGAAAAATATCTATTTCAACCTAAAATGTCTCAAATAAGTGTCACTCATGCAAACTAATTATTGTAATAATCTTGCAAAATAAATACGTACAAAAGGTTTTATATTGCTTTTCATTAATGTAACAGAAAGTATTTACCTTACAATTACAAGTAACAACATTACAATTATCTCCAGAGTTGTGAGCAATACTGCTGACAGTCCTTGTTCAGATATTAGTCCAGGTCGTTCCGATAACATGCCCGCAAATGCTGTTGTTCTAACATCATAAAAACATTCCCACAAAGTTTTGAGAAATGTTCTTGTAGTGACTGTGCTTGGCCAGGGGTACATTCATAAATCCGAGGCGGACCGCTTTCGACGCAAAATGCGTTTTTATTATAGAACATTACCCGGCCGACGTTTCAATCATATTTTTCAATACGTATTAAATCCACACTGTAATTAAATTTTAAAGTGTGTCGGGAAAACACATCTGACTTCCACCACCGCTTTTGAAAACAGCGCTTTCCGTTTCCCTTATGTGTCTCTTCCTTCGCTCAACGGCGACATCTGTGCTTTGGATACTATAACACCAGGGAACAGCTGATTTTGACTTTTCGCGAAACAAATCACAAAGAAAGACACACCAAAAGCGAAAACCATGCCGGGAAAAAGGTAAATTTTATTTCTGATTTGACTATAAAAAAAGTTAATAAAGCCATATTTTCCAATGCTCCAAATCGCAAGCAAACGGCCATGGCGAAAAGAGTTAAAGAAGCAACGACGGAGGCGCAGACGGCGGAAAGCTGCTGTGGCGCGTGACTTGCGTGTGGAAGAAGGTAAATCTATTTGCAAAATATCACTTGCGTTTCAAAAAACTACATAAATTAAAATCTACACAGATGAAGCCAGCAAACTCAAAGATCCGGCCTACCAATTGTGGCTACAACAACAGTCTCAACTTGAGGAGGAACAGCTCCGCGCAGCTGAAAAGCGTCATGCAGAAGAAGAGGAAACTTGGTTGAGGCGCGATTTGCTTGCTCAACGTGAATTCCGGCTAAAGCAACAGCAACGCGAAGCAGCGGAAGCCGCAGAAAGAGCTAAACGTAAACAACAAGCAGAGGAACTGGCTGCAAAGGAAGCCGAACAACGACGACGCCGCGAGGAACGTGAACGTAGCGAAGCGGCAGCAGCTGCGGAGTTTGAGCAAATGTTGCAATGTACAGAAAGGTTCCTTAACACTGATGGTCCAGCACCTGCAGAGCTGAGACGTGTGGTAGAGTCACGTCCCGGTCAGAATTTGTGTATTCTCTATGATCGTACAAATTGTTGCCGCTTTGGGCCGTCATGTGCGAATAATCATCGTAGACCGTTGCTTTCCAACATAATTGTTGTGCGTCACTTCTTTATGCATCCGCTGTTGGAACAGGAAGAGCACAAAGAATACGCAAATGCTGATGGTGGTTTGGAGTTAAGTGAGCAGGACTTGCGCGAGGCGTATGTAGAATTCTTTGATGATGTAATACCGGAATTGCAGGGATTTGGTTATTTACGAAATTTCCGTACTGTGCGTAATGTGCTGCGACACTTGCGTGGACATGTGTTCGTCGAGTACTTGGAGGAGAGGTGCGTTTGATGAATCGCTGCGTGTGATACATGTACAGAAAATTATAATCATTTTTCATTTGCAGATCCGCTTTAAAAGCTTTTATAAAGCTACAAGGTCGCTTTTATGCCGGCAGGCAACTAAATGTAGAATTTTCAAGCATTGAAAATTGGCGGGGCGCTATTTGTGGTACGTGAGGCGTTAGCAGCTAACACATATTGCTCTGATGGTATCCTTTTTAGAAAAACAAATAACAATCTAAACATCAAAACGATCAAAAGAAAACATACAGGGCACATAACTTGTGTTAAATATGATTTTTAATTGTATCTCTCTACTTTAACATTTTATGCTAAACACTTTTCCTTAACAAAACTTTCTATTTCTCGAAAAAAGGCTTATCGCACGCGCACAAATGTCCTAAGGGTGATAAATGTAATTATTTACACTTATTCAAAAACCCTGGTAATAAGTACAACACGCCTTTGGTGGCCAAGAAAACACCAAGTGGTAGGGTGCAGGTAGCCACGCCCCTAATAAGGTAAAATACATATCCTCGTTTGAAGTACAAAAGCGCGTATCGTCGTCGTTCTGACCGCGTAACTGACCTCTTTTTGTCAAAAATTGGATTTACTCACAGAAGCCCTTGGTTCAAGCCTTATCCATTCGTCCTGAAATATACTAGCCAGAAATGCGATTGCTTTATAAAAGAGAGAAACATTTTGAAATATGAGTGTTTTTACTTTACAAAATAATTAGGCACCCTCACATACGTGGTTTTGAATTATCTTGATACGCGGTTTTGTACTTTAAACGACGATATACATATTAACAAAGCAAGCCTTGAATTATCCTTAATTCCTTTAATATATTTTTCAAGCTGGAACATGGTGACAGCGAATGATGTGAAACACAATTCACGCAACTGGCGTTGGTCCGAAAGTCCTGAAATTGAAGTTGCAGCAACGAGATTTGATCCAGAAAAGACTGAGAAAAAAGTTAGCAAAAGCGATGATTGCCGTAGATATAAAAATGATGATAAACTAAAAAATTCCACCCACACCCAAACAAAAAACGAAGATGTCGATGGTAAATCAATGCGTAAACGCAAAAAACACAAACATGAGCGCGACAAGTCTCATAAAAAGCACAAAAGAAAGCGTTCGCGCAGCTCAAAGCATTCTGAAAAGCATCAAGACTGCCAAAATGAGTCCAGAACTAGTGACAATAAGCACAGTAAAAGCAAATATGATCACACTACGCGCTCTTGTACACCCAGCACTAAGAGTGATGATGGTCGACAGAGCAAATCTGCTGGAAGTGAAAGTAGTCGTTCAGCTAGACAGGATGATGACAAGGGAGAGCATAAGAATGGCAGCGACAAATGCGAGCATTCAACTGCTGAGGAGAGGCATAAAAAGCGAAAATACCATAAATCTAGTAGCTCAGATAGGTGCATATAGTTTTGCTGAATTACAGTCTGAGAAATATTGTTAATATTACTATTTTTTTTTTTTAATCGCCTAGCTTTACTCCAAATAAAAATAAAAGCATTGACAGCAACAGAAGTCGGAGCAAAGAAAGTCCCGAGCGGAGAAACGCGGCGTCGAAGTGTTAACAGTGGTTTATTTTGAAATATCTTCTACCTCTGGTGCAGATCAAAGCACATCTAAGGCGCCAAGGGTAATAATTGACTCTTGACGTTTTGCAGTATCACCGACGATATTCTGCAAGCACTAAATATTTTCAATAAAAACATACAGTGTTAAAAAATTTCATAGTTAAAAAATATGTTTTCGAGTTATTTTACACCTAAAGTATGTATAAAAGTAAACTATTTTGTTTTTTATAGCTTTTTTGAACTCTTCTAGTTTACAAAAGTTTTGATTTGCCCCCGATGAATGTCGTTTAGGCCTGTCTATAGTTCTTCTGGTTTAGAAAATGACTTACAGCTTAAACAGACGGCAGCGTTGATCCGGATCAACTCTGGAATTAACTGCAGTTGATCCGGCTTAAGTCCCAGTTAATCCCGATCAACGCTGCCGTCTGTTAAAGCTTTTACATACGTCCCTGGCTGAGTCTGGTCTTTGAGAAACATGCCTTGCCGCAAGTGCCTGCAGGCTTGGGGTCAATGTCTGTAATGCTTTAAAGGATTTGGTGCAACCCTTCTAGAAGTTTTCGTTCTGATACAGGCAACACTTAATGGTTTTTACTGATCTAAACGATCGTAGATCTTTAAAACAACATGTCTTGGATTTGGCGTAGAAGCGATTGTTTTAGGAATTAGGTCTAAATTTTTGGTGTTATCTGTAGCAGCTTGGTTGTATTGGAAAATCCGTAGTCTTATTGCTTACAGTCCACATTATTGCCGTCAGTCAAGGTACAATTTTGATCAGATCATCTGCACCGTTAATCCGGTTTCACGTTGCCGTCTGTCTATGCTTTTACTTGAGTTCTACTGTCGAGACAACGCTTACTGTTACAAAAGCCCCATCACTTTTAACAATTTTGTAATTCATACATACCCACTCCTCTTCATAATTCTCTTAAGGTTTTTTTTTTTCAATAAAACAATATTTTTTTTTTAATTTTTTAAGATTTTAATTTTTTATTTTCGGCACTCATTGCAGATAAGTAATTGGAAAAAGTACATTTTGTGAAAAGTGCATGGCATATAAAAATTCGATAAATTTATTTATGTAGATAGAATAAATATTTTATAACAAATAAAAATATAACGGCTTATGTAATAGGCTGGCAGTAGAGCACAAGCAGTGTAATACCAAAAAAATAAAAAATTACAAAGTAAAGTGATCTCAACGTCGTTGCAGCCAAATTTTTGCAATTTAGCTAGCGGAAAATTTTAGGTGAGTTTTCAAGAATGCACGCAATTAATAAATTCTAAAGTCTATTATTTGTTGTTTTATACTTTTTTTTTTACAAATAAAATTAGAAATAAAAAAATCGAAAAAAGAAATTAAAATAAAATAATAAAATTAATCAAAAAAACACACACACAGACAATGCGAAGGCACCACCAACTCACTGCAACGCCGCCTTAAAGACGAATACCCGGATTCGTGGCTGCCACATAACGCAGCAGTTCATCGTTATCCTCGCAGATGACCGGCTTTTCGTGATAGCAGGCCACATCGTGCCATGCAATACCATCATTGTAGACATTATTCAATACCGACAAGCACTGCTCCTTGGTCTGGTTGATCTCGTATTCGGCATTGTCAGGTTGTGGGCGCTTCTTGTGGCCAGTTTGCGACCATGGATTGTAGCCCCAGCCTTGTGGAATGCGATTGGTGGCTTGAATCTTCTCGCGGGTGGCAGACCAGAACCAACCGTAAACATTTTTGGGTTCCAAATCGGGACGATTTTCACAGCCAGCGAAATCGCAAATACGGCCAGCAGTCCAAATGTAAGGTACATCGTTCTGTTGAATGACACGGAAAATCAGATTGTTCTTCTCTTGTGTCTCCAAAGCGACCAAGTCCATGCAGTATTCACGGCACAAATTACGACCATCCAACCAATCGACCTTCTTGTTGGCCAACGCTGGTACGTGAGAGCTGAGGAACATGTTGCGACCGCGGTAGGAGAATTCCTTAGGACCTGAATGGGTGATATAGAGAAAGAGAGAGGGAGGAGAAAAAGGAAATTAGCAGTTGATGCAACAGTAGGTGACATTTGTATGTATGTATGTATGTATGCATGCATGTAAATATTACTTCATGTTTGTATTAGTATTATGAATTCAGTAACTCTTCCAACAGTTAAACAACAAAAGACTTAAGCAACAAACTCGCTTGCGATTGCCACACATGCATCGTCTCTCCGTTGGCCCTTTTCAACACCACCACCGTCGCTCAAGCTATTCGTGCCACTGTTACAACAATTCATTATTTCCGAACCCTCCCGCCAGCCATGCAGCCAGCATAAGGCAAGTGCTAAAATATTGCAGCAACAAGCTCAGCTGAGAGTCACGATAACGATAAGTAGCTATCGACTGCTGGGTCGCTGTTGCGCAATTCTTGCCACAACAGATCGAAAAAGCAACAAATACAAAAACAGCAGCAACGATCTCGCAGCAAACAACAGCTGAACAGGTAATACATAACTTCTGCTGTAGCATACGTATGGAGTCGCTTCTTTAGCTGCACTTTGTCGCTGCCATTGCTATCTTCTTCTTCTTCGTTCAGCCGGTTGTAGAAAGAAAAAAAATAATAGAAATTTTTTCCCAACAATTATTCGCAATTGTGCTAATGTGCAACGCAAATGGGTGTGTGTTGGCGCTAAGTAGGTGGCTTGTTACACATGTCTACTACAATACCTTGACGGCTTCGCCAACGACCAGCGATAGAGCTAAAAAAAAACACCGCCACTAACGGCGGCAGCGGCTTAAATGTTGCAAAGTGTCTAGAAAAATGTGCAATTTCGTATGCAGTATGTAAATATGTATGTAAAGTCGGCAGTGAATTGAAACAGCAACCGCCCAAATATTGTGCAAAAACTTGTTTGAACAGCAGCGAAGCGCTTATGGAATTTTTTCGCACATCGGCGTTGATTTATTTTCTTTATCCCCTTTTGTAACTCATTTTTGCCGTTAAAATTTTCCTACATATCTTCAGTTTACTTACTGGCTAATAAGCCACAACAAATGTAAACACTTGCATAGTTAATGACGCTGTTTGTATGCAAAGTTGCAAAATGCTGCTCAAATGAATAAGTATCAGCAGCTACCGCCAATGTGGGTGGGGCTCGTTGCAGGCACACGCGTCTTTGATAATACTCGTGAGCGCCATAGCCGCTGGGATTTTCTTTTTTTCTTGATCAGATTTCATTTTCTGCCGACCTTATTTTTTATCTTGTTTTTTTTTTTTTTTTTGTAATTGATTTTACTTTTCAACCGACTTCAAAAAAGGGGGAGGTTATCAATTCTTTTGAATTTTATATTTTTTTTTTTACTGTATGTTACCGCATAACTTTGGACCATGTTAACCGTTTTCTATCATTTTTTTTTAAGGTCTCAGAGGTTGTCCCATACTAATGTGGTTTAGATCCCATCATTGGATTATGCAGAAATTAACGGTACTCTTAAATTTTTGTATGAGATCTTAAATCGGTTTTTTTTTTTCTTTAAAAATTATTTGTTTTGTAAGCAATAGATGCGGAGTATTAAGAATTTATGTTTCAGAAGTGGAATAATGACGCGTTTTGTTCAGACAAGTTACAAAGGACTATAACTTGTGAATTTTGAAAATTTTTTCCATACGATGTTGCGCACTTTTCACATATTTAAAGCATGCCCAACATAAAAATACTACACAAAAAATTCGGCAAAGAAAATTTCAAAAATTGCCGAGACATAAAATAAAAAAAATTAAATAAAAATTAAAAAAATAGTACCTAAAATTTTATTTAAAAAAAAAATTATTTACAAAAAAAAAACAAAAATTAAAAAACAATTAAATTGAAAAAGAAAAAAAGTTCAAAACATAAGATCATAAAAATCAAATTAAACAATAAAATCTAACACCAAAAAGATAATTAAATTGACAAAAAATTAAAAACTAGAAAAAAAGATAGGTCTCTAGAAGTTTAATGAATTAAAACAAAATATATATTTATTCCTTTTAAAACTATACAACTTGAAAAAACTTGAAGCAACCAATTAAACAAAAATAAATTAAAAAATTAAAATGAAAAACAAAATGGAAATAGATAAACATATTTTAGAAAATACAATGAAACTAATTAAACTAACAAACAAAATTCATAAACATTAAATAATAAAAAAAAATTTATCAAAAAAGGAATAAATAGTATGTATGTACTTAAAAATTAAATAAAAAAAATTATTTTTTTAAATGATATCTTTAATTTTTAAACAAAATTTAAAAATAGTTTACTTAAACAGACAAAAAACCAAAGTTGAAAAAAAAATAAAATCCTAGAAGGTAAACGAAATAAAATATATATGTTTCCTTTTTACCGATTAATTGCAACACTATTTTTTCCGCCATTCAGTTGCAACCAACCGAGGCTTTCAATTAGCTGAACTTTGGTTAACAGTAGCCAATTAAGTTGAATAAGGAAATAAAGGAAAGTTGAATAAGGTAACAACAGCTTACGGGGTGTGCATAGCTCAGTAGTTAGCACTTCTGACTTTGCACATCGATGATGCGGGCTTGATCCGCGCCGAAGTCTAGGAAAAAAGTCTGATGAGGAGATGTGGTGATCTCCGAAATAGCAGCTATAACTTCTACCGCTTAGCCTTTATTGTTGTTTCCTTTTCTCCTAACAAGCAAAACGTGATATAAAGCTCAATAACACTATTGGAATAAGCAAATTAAAACGCCACAATAAAATTAACAAACAAGCAAACTTTTATTAAACCGCCAAATTTTAGCTATCCGAATTTGGTTCACTAAATTTTATAATTTGAACTAAGTCAGCTTGCTCGATAAATTCTATGAAATCAGCTGATCAATTATTTGCCAGAACTGGGTTGCCATAAATTCGAAAACACTTCCCGGCCATTTCACGCTGTGAACATGAGTTAATAAACAGTTACACTGAAACGGATCTGAACGAGTGTATATTCCAATTTTGAGGCATATGTATATAAATGTTGATCCATTGAACCGATTTTTTCATTTAGCCGAAGTCTCAAATAACCGATGTATCAAACAAGCAAAAATAAAAGTGGGGCCACCAGAGTTTCCGTGCCAATTAAGCAGAGTTTTCAGTTAACCAGATTGCAACTAATCGGTTTCGACTGTAAAACAAAAAAATCCAAAACTAAAAGATAAATAACTAAATTGAAAAATTTAAATTTTTTTATAAAACAGAAAAAAATCAAATACGTTTCTAAAAGCTCAGTGAAATTAAAAAAGTATATTTTTCTTTTTAAAACAATAAAATCTAAAAAAAAAAATTAAGTTTCTAAAAATTAAATTTAATAAAAAAGTTTATACTTTTTTTTTTGTAAGACAATGGAATCTAATAATTAAAAGCAAATTGAACTATAAAAAGGATAAAATTATATTAAAAAAAAGTTCGCTACCCGAGGTTTCGAACCCGGATCTCTCGAAGGGCACACCAGTGCTTTGCTCATTCGGCCATTGCCACTATTGGAGCGACGCGAGCTAAATGATATATCTGCGCTTTCTCTCAAGTGCAGGAATGTTAGCTCTGTAGTCGAGTTTTTGCAACAATCGCGAGCCTTCGGAGCAGCACTCACCGACAAGCCATCACCGTTTGTTTTTAAACCGCAACGGAATTGAGCTCGGACCGTACTTTCGAGGTTCAGGTGTTTTTTTTTTTTTTCATTTCCTTAATGAAAACGAATGCCTAGCTTGACCTATTGAGCTTGAGCGCAATATGAGTTTTGCCCATCTGACCCACCCTACATATATGTCATCCCGAATTCAACTTTTGTAGAGCATTCTTGCTCGATAAAGGTACTGGAGGCGTCTGTCTTTCCTGGGGCATTAAATGGGCACTTTTGTCTAAATCTCTGACACCGGCAATTTTCGACCCTTCCCCCTTACTATCATACCAACATACATTTCTTTTAAGCTAGCATGTGTCGTTTTTGGAATTAATTCTACTCAACTCAGTCATTTTTTTAGCATCCAGTTCAATGGTATCACTAAACTTGACACTCTAACAGTCACTTGGTTCAGAAAGTTTAACTTCCAATTGAAATAAAGCCAGCAATGCCAAATGGTATACTTAAATGGCGGAAGAAAATAAAAATTCAACAATAACAAAATGGAGTGGAAAACTGAAATCACTTAGCTAACAAATGGCACTTCAAAACAGACACTGCTCTGTTGAAATCTTTCACACATTTCCATTTCAAGCAAATACCAGCCGCTATAATTTCCGCTCTTTGAAAAGCGATAAAAGCCGCCTCACCAGAGAAGATTTGTGATCCAGCTGGCATTAATGGTGACAAACAATAAGTCAAAAAATCAAGTGCATTTGCAGAGGCAAAAGAAAATGATTTGAGAAAGGATTTTCATTTCGCCTAGGTGCGTGAAGCGGAAGTACTTTGTGGTCAGTTGCCAGCAAATAAATTGTTTGACTTATGACTTGCATTTAAGACACATTTGTGGTTTGTAGAAAAAGTTGCAGCCGAAAATGCAATTACCAACTTGCGGTGTACAACAAAAGGCGCTATAAGTTATTTTCATAAGACTTCCGCAATTAGTATAATTTTTGTTTTTCTTCTGCGCTTAATAATTATAAATCTTCAAGTGGCTGAAGTTTTTAATTATGGCATATGGAAGGGCGTGCGCAAGAACTTAAAGTTGGCAAAAAAAAGTATATAACTGCAATGCTTAACGCATCCTGTATACTCATGCCAATGATTTGTGCAGTAGAAGAGTCTGCTGATGTAGCTGATAGCTTAAATAGCCTCATTACTACGCCATTAACGACTCATTCATTGCTTGAATGCATCTGCCGTTAAATCATCTTTTTCCTTTAGTCTTGTATCCGCTAGTATCTGCTTATAGCGATCTCTCTCTTCATGTAGGTCAAGGCAATTGCAAACTGAATAATTCGTAAAAACCAGTTGCAAATAGTTTCTTCATAAAAGATGT